GCTCATCAGGTCTCCGAGTCTCCCCACTGGCCCACAGATGTATTGGAGCCATTCACAGTTGGGACCTTGCACTAGGACATATCTTGTGGGACCAAAGCAGCTTTGTGGGACTAACACAAGCGTGAGGTTTATCGTGAATGGTGTTAATCTTTTACCATGACTGCTGTCCTCTCCGAACTTGTGTGTCTGCAACTTCAGACTTGCAGGCTCCCTTCTCTTCGAGAAATGTCCCTGCTCCATTTGCTGTCTCTCGTGGTGCATCTGGATGAAACCGGTGATGAGCAACCACGGCGTAGCTTGAATGGCAGCTTATCTCGGAGGTTCTTCTGTCAGACAAACAGTCCATCCATTGCTACTGAATTCAGCTTCCACACAGGTTCTCACAACATGGGCAGAACGTAGCCATATTCTGAAAAAAAATTATTTCTCATTCCATCATGTGTGTTGTAGGTCTGGTGCCTGTGGGGGGTAGAAGAAGGCGCTGGTGCTACTGACAGTTGTGAACCGCAGTGTGGGTGCTTGCAAGGCAACTGTTGCTCTTTACTGCCAAGTCGTCTGCCAGCCCCGTAGCAAGATTCTTTACCGTATTGCAACATGAATGACCTCTAGCTCAGTTCCCAAGAAAGGTGTGTGTGTGTGTGTGCGTGTGTGTGTGTGTGTGTGTGTGTGTGTGTTTGAGACAGTGTTTCTCTATGTAGCCCTGAATGTCTATAGACCAGGTTGGCCTCAAGTACCTGCCTCTGTCTTGAGTGCTGGCGATTAAAGGTGTGTGCCCGGCCCCAGGGAGTTTGGATCCCTGCAGAAACCTCATGAACTGAGTCTCCGCAGCCCACATGTCTCTCAGCAGGGTTCTGTCCAAACTCCTACCGCCACGGCCCATCACTCTCTACTTACAGCTTAGAGCTTTTCTAGATGGAAGTTTGAAACTCATCCTCAAACCCCTTTCGTAATGGCCCAAAACCTGCGAACCACACAGTCAGATTTGTCACAGCACTGACTTAATTCCTGACCGCAGTTTTGCATGTCAGCTTCTTTTCTTGCTGTGACACAGTGACCGATGAAGGCAGCTTCAGGAAGGGAGATAATTTTGGGTCACAGATTAAGAGTGCAGTCCTTTGCAGGGTGGTGGTGGCACACCTGTTGCCACTCTATTCCATGGGGAACCACAGGACCCATGTGGGTGCTGGGAATTGAACCCGGGGCCTATGGAAGCACAGCCAGTGCTCTTAACTACGGAGCCATCTCTCCAGGCCCCGACTTTCATACCTTTAAAGCATATTCATTTATTTCCTTGTTTACCTGTGGGCATGCGTATGGCATGTCTGCAGAGGTCAGAAGACAACTGGTGGGAGTCAGATCTCTCCTTCCACCACGGGGCCCTGGGCAGTAAACCCAGCTCTGCAGGTTTGGCAGCAGGCCCCTTCATTGTTGGGCAGTCTTGTTGGTCTTTTGTATCCTGGTGTGCGTGTTCCAATGAGTTTAATCAGGGTTGCTTGCAGAAGCATGGGTTAAGAGATTATTTTTAGGGGTGTGCGCATGTTACCCATGGCTACACCACTGAAGAAAATATCTCCTCCTAGCAGCCGGGGACTGCCTAGAGATCATCAGGAAGGGGTGAGGCCCTGTGTACCCCTCCCACCCCGTGGCTCAATTTTGTGCAGGCCCTAGGCAGGTAATCAAGCTGTTGTGAGCTTGAGAATACAATAGCCATGTTGTGCCTGGAGGACAGTATTCCACAACACTCCACTCCTTCACCTGCCTCCTGCAGCCTTTCGGCCCCTTCTTCATGAGCCTCGTAGGGCGTGGTATAAAAATGCCAGTTGGACCAATCATGGGCCCCTGCAACTCTGATTGCCCACTGCCGTGGAATAATCGTTTTGCACACTGTGAAGATTTGCCACTCAAACTGGTTTAATAAAAAGTCGACTGGCTGGCAACCAGGCAGGAGGTAGAGGTGAGGCAACCATACTAAGGATACTGGAATGAAGAAGGGTAGAGTCGGAGGAGACGCCAGCAGACGCAGAGGAAGCAGGATGTGTAGAAAATGGGGCAAGGAGCCATGAGCCAGGTGGCAGAGAGTAGATAAGGAATATGGGTTAATTTGAAATGTAAGAGTTAGGTAGTAACAAGCCTTAGCTATTGGCCAAGGATGGCAATAGCACTAATCTGTAGGCATAAATGTAGAAAGCAATTTGATGGGCACATTGGCTTACGTCTTGTTCTGGTTAGTTTCACACCAAGTGGACATAAGCCTGAGTCATTGGGGAAGAGGACTCTCACTGAGAAAATGCTCTCATCCATATGGTCTGCAGGGCATTTTCTTGATTGATAATTGATGCGGGAGGGCCCCGCCTACTGTGGGTGGGGCCACCTCTGTGCCTGTGGTCCTCCATTGTGTAGGAAAGCAGTGACAGTCATGAAATGAAGGCAGTGAGCAGGGCTCTTCCACGGCCTCTGCCTCAGTTCCTGCCTCGAGGTTCCTGCCATGACTTCCTTCAGTCAGCCGGCAGTATAAGATAACGCAAACCCCTCCCTCTCCACGCTGCCTTTGGTGGTGCTACTTCATCACAGCAGCAGACACCCCCTGAGGATCTATGTCTCCCATAGCTTCGGGGTTCTGATGGGCTCACAGCCAACATTGCTTCAGTGTACATATCGTGCCTGCTCAGTCACTAATCTATCATCCTGTCTTAGTTCCTTTTTTTTTTTTTTTTTTGGTGCTGTGATAAAACACATGGCCAAAGCAACTTACAGGGAAATAAAAGCTTACTTTAGTTCCTAGTCCCAGAGGGTCAGAGTCCGAAAGGCAGAAGAAGCAAGATAGCAAGTGCCAGGCGGCTGGGGCAGGGAGGGAGGGCTCGCATCTTGAACTCTCCAAGCATAAGGCAGAGAGAGCAAACAGGGTGTAGGCGAGGTTTTTAAAAGCTCAAAGCCTGCCTGCACTCCCCAGACCTGTGATATGTTTCTTCCCAGCAAGGCTGTCCCACCTGCCCCTCCAAGCCTCCCCAAACAGCTGGGTATCAAGTGTTCAAATGCTGACACTACGAGAGATGCTTCTCACTCAAACTACTACACACACTGAGTCCACAGGTGAGTGAGGCTGCTGACAGCTCTTCTCCATCCCCCTATATCACGCAGCAGCCCTATTAAGGCTACCCAGTTGGTTAGAAGCTTCCAGTCAGTTCCAGCCTGAGCTTCCTCCTCATTCAGCCGGGAAACTCCAGAACAGAGAATGGTGCTATCTATGTTCAAGGTGGCTCTTCTGTTCTCAGCCCAACCCACAGACACACTCAGATGTGTGTTTCCATGGTAACCGTAAATCAAGGAAACAGTTTATGTTGACCACCACCCCAACTAAGATACTCTGTGTGACAGTAGTGTTAATTGTCAACTTGACACCCGTTGTCACCTAGGAGACGGGCCTTGAGCATGTTTCTGGTCTGTTTTGGAGACAGTTCCGTAAGCTTCTGTGTTTTCCTGGAATGTTCTGTAAATGTCTGTTAAGTCCATTTGATCAATGGTGCCATTTAATTCGACATTGTAAGAAGGTGATGCTAGGACCCGTCGGTGGTGGCACAGGTCTCTCCCAGAGCTCAGGATGCAGAAGCCTGCAGACATCGGAGTTCCAGGCCACCCTGATCTATGCAGTGAATTACAGAACCTACACGCAGAAACCCTGTCTTGAAAACAAAACAGAACAAAAGAGAAACAAAAAAGGAACGTAATGTTATAGAATCTAGCTGCTGTTGAGACCAAAACACCTTACAGCAGCCCCTCCCCTTACAGCAGCCCCTCCCCTTACAGCAGCGACCCCCCACTTTCATACATACCAACAGGCACCCCACTGAGTGCATTGCTTGCTAATCTAGACTGAACTGAGGTTGTCAGTCTTGTGGCGAGGATGGTGGCAAGACTCTTTTACCCACTGAGGCCTCCCGTGGTCCATGAGTGACCTTCTCCCTCTGTCCTCACTAGTCTTGAATTCTCTTTTGTCAGATAATAAAACGACAGCACCTGCTTGCTTGTGTCCTAGGTCCATTCACTTAGAATACTTTTACAAGTCTCTGAACTGACGTTTTATTTATTTGTGTGGGCATGTGTGCTCGTCCCGCCATGTGTGTGGAGGCCAGAGGACAAGTTACTGGGGTTAGCTCTCTCCTTCCATCGTGCCGTAGGGACCAAACTCAGGCTGTGAGGTTTGCCAGCAAGTGCCTTTGCCCACCGAGCCGTCCCACTATCCCCTGAAACACTTCTATCTATCATTTCACCCTAAGGCTGTGCCTGCCTTTTCTGGTGAGGAATTTTTTGGAGGTAACAAATGTTTTCCAGATATTTGCTCCCATCTACTAGCCTGTGCCTTTGCTTGGGAGCACAATTGGAACCAATACCATTCAGAGTGATTAAAATGTATGTGTTGATTCCGGCCATTTGGGTTTTTCCCTCTCTCCGTTTCTTAACTATTAGTCTAGCTTGCTTTCTTTTGTTCTGGGCCTTGTGGACTGACTTCCTCCCCTCTTCAGTCTGAGGTTTCTGACAGGCGTTTCTGCATAGCTGGCCCAGAGCTCATGGATTTTATTTTATGAATTCCTTTAGCCTATTTCTCCTGTGGAAAGTTTTCCATTTTCCCTTCCATTATGGCAGAGAGCCTTCTGGGTGCTGTCGTCTGGGCTGTCAGTTGTTTTCTTCCACAGCTTGAAATAGATCACTGCACACCCTTGGGCTTTTACCCTTTCAGTGGAATGGATAATCTTCTTATCTGACTGGCCTGCCTTTATTTGTTAATCAGCGTTTTCCTCTTGCAGCTGAAATATGTTGGGGGGAGGGACCCAGAGCCCACACCCAGCTGTCTCCTTTTCTACCCGAACTTCCCCTTTACCCTCACAGCCTGACCCCTTCTATCTGCTTCCTGTCTAGACTCTGGCTCCTCACTTGGGAGCTTTATCTACAGAATCTGACCTAGCGGGTCCCAGTAGGGCTGGATTCTTTGTGTCTGGAAGTCGCGTCTCCACCCAGAACTTGGATTCTGCGAGGCTGTGAAGGAGGACAGAGGCTCGGAGCCTCTGGGTTGTGCCCGGAGAAATGCCGCTCTGTCGGCCCCAGCCTGCCACGGAGAGGGCCTGGACGGGGAACTAGAGGTTGTAAACTTGGGGTCGTAAGACGCCTTTGTCCTGGCTCCGATAGATGGTGTTGGGTCCTCAGGACATCATGCTTGCCCAGGCAGATGACTCTTGAGTTGGCTAGGTCGGCTCTGGATTGGCTCCGCCCCCTCGCTTTGGCCTCTTGCCCAGGGCTGGGCGGAGTCAGCTAGGCCCGAGGGCGATGATTGGCTCAGTCCAGATCATCAGTCCACAGGGTCAGAAGCCAGGAACTAAACCATTTCTAGAGAAGACAGGAGGTTTCCTGGGACTCATTGCTACAGGGAGAAGGTGCCAGGCTTGGGGGCACGGGGCAGGCCCCGATTGAACAGTGGGAGCTCTGTCTAGAGCTGGGGTGGCTGAAGGCCCTTGGAGGCCCGTGGTTTCCCCGTTACCATGCCACTGCTCTTGCTTCATTCTGGACCAGTCTGGACCAGTTGTCAGCTGTCTGTCGCTCTCCTTGTTCTCCTATCTCACTGTCTCTCCTGCATTGCCCTGGTGTCCCTTCTCCTTGCCCTATTGTAGTCCTCTAAGTCACCGCCCCTGTCCAGTGACCCTGGCAGGCCACTGCGGTCTCCTGGGCCTCAGAACCTCACCCTCTGTCCATCTGCCCTGCAGGATGCTACAGCTGAGCCTGTCCTGGCTGGGACTGGGGCCCGTCGCTGCCTCCCCATGGCATCTCCTGCTGCTGGGTGGGGCCTCCTTGTTCCTGGCCCGAATGCTGGCCTGGATCTATGCTTTCTATATCAGCCGGCGTCGACTCCGCTGCTTCCCTCAGCCCCCTAAACGCCACTGGTTTTGGGGTCACTTGAACATTGTGAGTATGGCAACAGGTGGGTCCTGGGGTGTCAGGATGAATGTGTTCTCAAAGGTCAGGAAGTGTTCCTAGGAATCCGGGGGTCCCGAGAGGGCTAGGGGCCTGCAACAGTAGAGATGGGGGGAGGCTGAGGGAGTCCCTCTCTGTTCACACACCCAGAAGATCCATTCCTTACCTCTGTTCACACCGTGCTCTGAAGCTTTCTTCGGTTTTGCCCCTCTTGTCCTTAGCTAGCTTTGGGTCACGTTCTCATTAGGACTCATGGTCTGAAGTCTCTTCTTGTCTTTTGTTCAGACCTGTTCCATGTTGTAGTTGGACGCCCCCAGGACAGGGTGCATAGGACTGAGTTCCCTTTTCCTCAGTGCTGTCCTTACTTTCCGCTGTTGGGTTTGAGGCCTTCTGGTGGAATGCATGTGGTACGCCCCTTTCCTGGCCCGTCTCTGTTGTCCTCAGGCCAGTGTCGGTACCTCTCTGAGCTGCCTCTTCCCCTGTGGGAATGGGCTATGATCCTTCTACCTCCACCAGAGGGACGCAGTGTCTGAAGAGAGATGCGATCCCTCCTCTCCAACTCTTCAGGCTCTTATCTAGCTCTCCATTCTCTAACTGTGTCAGAGGATTCCATAGTCTGCACTGTGTCAAAGTTGAGCATTCTGTCTTCCTTCTTGGTGTTGGGATGAAACACTCAAGTGTCTTGTTCTCTTTATGAACGCGGTCCATCTCTGTCCCAACCACTTGTTGGTTTTTTTTTTCTAGAAGTGACCTCTGTGGCCTCTTCCATAATGGTTACACTTTCTGGGAAGGGTTTCTTATTCTCATATTCAGTGTCCCTTGTCCCATGGCTCCCTCCTGCCAGAGCCACACTCGGCATTTGGTTGGAGTGCGTGTTTCTCTTTCCTTCTGGCTTCCTTGCTTGCCTTCTCTCATCTCATTTCTCTTCCTCTCCTTTCATTCCATCTGTATTAGGCAGGGTTTTCCCAGATGAATGGAACCGTATACGCCACACATTCACATTACCAGAAAGGTGCACAGCCGGTTGGGAAGGGGAAGTCCAGTTGTGGCTATGGCGTGCCCAGGAGCTTCTCAGACCGAGGGGCTGGTTGCCTTAGCAGTTCCAGTGTGGTGCTGAAGGCCTGGAAGTTTCAGGGAGAGTCTCTGATCTCCCATGAGAAGCTGAGTTCTGATGAAGAGAAACAGTCACCACCAGGAAGAGAAGGCCCAGGGGTCAAGCAGCAGGGTTGACCCCAGACTTTAGTCAGAAGGCAATGTCCATTCTCAGGGAGGGTCTTCTCCCTCAGTTCATCTTTCTAGGATGTTCCCTCACAAACTAGCCCACAGGATGGTCTCTTAGTTAATTCCAGATCCTGCCGAGTTGACAGTGGAGACTAACCACCAGAGACCCTACCTTTTGCCAACCTGACACCAGGCCATATGTGCTTAGTCACCAAATGAAGATACAAAGTCTCAGTCCCACCTAACACCATCTAAGCATTGCACTTGCAAAGAAATAAACTACTATTTCTCCAGAGTAGATGGCAAAGTTCCTTGAGGAATGCCTAACTGCCGATGTTATTTCAAGCAATGTTGTGTTACATGGTAAAGGAATAGGAGAGGAAAGAAGGCGTAAACGCCTGTGTATTTACCATAAACACACTCTTGACAACATAGGAGCATGATAGCTATAACCATTGCTTCTGTAACTGCTCATATGGTCTTAGCTGCTATTCACGGCTCCTTAACTCTCCTGCCCATTCTGTGTCTCCTCTGCCCTCATGAGGTCTTGGCAGGGTGACCCAAACCTTCATCGATGAAGAAATTAACACACACACACACACACACACACACACACACACACACACACACACACACACACACACGGCACAGGGACTGATAGTGGGGTTCAAATTTCAACTGAATATCAGAAAAGCAAAGCAGCCGGTCACTAGCTTCTTACCTCTTCCTCGGGCTGAATGGGCTGATCCTGTCTCCACGAGCTCTCAGCAAGCCTCAGCCTGTAACCTCTCCTCAGTGTGGCTGGAGAATGAGTGCCTCTCTGAGACCTTGCTTCTCTGTCTTGTATATTTCCCTAATGTTGGGATTAAAGGTATGAGCTATAATTCTCTTGTGCAGATCTGGGTGACCTTGAACTCACAGAGATCTGTCTATCTCTTAATCCTGAATCCTAGGATTAAAGGTGTGTACCACCACCTCCTAGTTTCAGGCTGCTGGGATTAAAGGTGTGTATCACCACTGCCTGATCGCTATAGCTTGAGGCCGACTTTGCTTTTCTGAATACTCAGGCCAGCTTTAATAAATGGTAAATAATATATCACTATAATCCTGCCTGGATTGGTTGTTGGAGTTTCCCATTGACTTTAACCACAGGACATGGTAACACCAAGATCTCCTGCAGTCCAGACATAGTCTTCCTTCTATTGTGGATAAACTGCCCACCCATTTTTCCTTTGGAAGTTTGAATCAGTCACCCCTGTTAACACTTTCACACATATCTTAGCCTGCTGATTCAAGGGAATAAGGAACTCAAATTGGCCAATTAGCTTCGGAGTCAATGGATATTTATTGTATCTCTTGGCAGAAGCAGTCTCCCATCTGGATCCAAATCTTGTCAGTCAAGAGAGCGTAAGGTTGTGCGAACAAAGAAGAAAACATTTTGCTAGTGGGCCACTAGAGGTCATCAGGCTTGGCACCATTCTCATTTTCTCTCCTGCTTGATTCCTGAACTAAATCCTGGATATAGAAGAAGCAATGCCACGTGTTGGAGACAGATTCAGAGCATAGATAGCCTTCTGGAAAACTTGTCCAGCTGTCCACGTTCTTCCCACCTGTCTCGCTGTTGCTGTGCCATTAAAAGGCCCTTCTACCCTTCTTTCAAGCCACCTGTTTCAGGATGATGGGGGATGGTAAGACCACTGAGTTTCATGGTCATGAGCCCCCTGCCTCATTGGAGAGATCTACCATGTGCCTCTTCCCACAATATCTTTCCAACTTTTTAATCACACCCACTTTAAGAACCCTGCCATGAGCCAAACCACTGGCCACGGCCCAAGGAACAGTGTACAATCACATGTTTGACCATCTCCTTTTCCAAGCAAAAGCATATGACTGTACACACTTCGTTAGATTTTCCTTAAGCAGTGCCCTTCACATAAAGGCTGTAATGCTGCCACTGACCACCTTTGGGTGGCGCCTGTGCTGCGTGTGGAAACACCTGTGAATGCCTAGTCTTCCTGTTTAATAGACCACAGGGCACACTTCGAGAGACTGTCGGCGCATGCTTAGGAACAGGAGGTGTAACAGGAGTAGGAACCATGGGCATTTTGGCATCTTTAGTAATAGGCTGTGCTTTCACTCTCTGTGTAGGCTCAGCCCACACAACACACACACACACACACACACACACACACACACACACACACCACTTTCATTTGATGATAGATTACTACTGTGACTGTTACCATTGTGTAAGTTGCAACACTAACCCCCAGTTCTCTGCTTAATGGGGTCGTATAGATAAATAGCTTGATCTAGGTTTATGTTTCTTCTATCACTAACCCACACCCTCAACTTCCTCTCACACATATGTCCCAGACCTCTTCTGATATGAACCAGAAACCGCAAGAAGTTCTTTAGGAGTGTAGTGTACCTTCTCACTGCGTGTTCCCTATGTGGTGAGACTGGGCTCCATTTGGCATCAGAGGTGCCTTGCTTGGCATCTCCTTCAGGGAAGGTTGATGGGGGATGTCCTTCTGCATATTTGCGTCTCTTGTTGGTTGATGAATAAAACGCTGTGACCAATAGAGGCAGGGAGATAGGCGGTTATAGGAGATGAGGAGAATTCTGGGATACTAGGCAGATGCAGTTGCCATGTGAGCCGTCAAAGGAGTTAGAGGTCTGGACCCTTCTCCAGTAAGGTAAGACCACGTGGAAATACTTTGATTAATAGAAATGGGTTAATAATTAAGACAGAGCTAGCCAATAAGAAGACCAAGCCACCGGCCAATATTTTTAATTAATGTAAGTCTTTGTGTGTTTATTTGGGGCTGAGAGGGCAGTGGGACCTGTAGGACTGAAAAACTTACAACAACAGAAGGGCATTCTTGGTTTCACAGACAACACAGGGTTAAATTTTTTCAGATAAAGATGGAGAGGACAATGGTTCAGGGGTTGGGGTTGGGTATACATTTGCTGCTAAATTTGGGGGACTCTTCCTTAAGAAAAACAAACCAATTCGATTCTGAGAGTTCCATGCCCTGGGGTCCTCCAAACATCTCCATCTCAGGTTACAGGATCCCACTGTTTACTAACCAGTGCCCCCACTTAATTGCTGACTCTTTGAGGCTAGGACCTGAATTTTCATCTTAAGTCATTCAGTCCTATAACATGGGCTTGTGTTTGGATTTCAGCATCTCCAGGCCTAGTTAAGTTAAGCTGCTCAAGTTAAGTTTTCCTCTTAGGATCGGGCAGTGGTGCCTCATGTTTTTAGTCCCGACAACCAGGAGGCAGAGACTGGTGAATCTATATGAGTTTGAGGCCAGCTAGGTCTACAGAGTGAGTTCCAGGACAGCCAAGGATATGCAGAGAAACCTTGACTCAAAAAATAAAACAAAATGGCAACAAAAACCCCCACAAAAAATCAATCAAACAAACAAGCAAAATAGATTCTCTCTTAGGATATACAAACTTCTAGAGGGTTTGGGCACAGTTGGAGTTGGGACATTAATTTCACTTTATTTTCATGTGTTATTTCATTCAGAAACATTGGAAGCACCTAGCCAGCATCATTGTATTCCTTATTCCTTACTGTTCCAGATGTTCAAGTTTGATATAGAGTGGGTGCATCAGGAAGATCAGAGCATTTACCTCCCATAGTTATTTAAGCAGTTCATGCCATTGGTTATCAGTATTCTCTGGACTCCCAAGTCTTCAGCAATGGCATTTCTTAGTGTCTGTCTCTGTGATAAAACACCATGACCGAAAGCAACTTTAGGGAGAGCTGGTTTACTTTCATTCAAAGGTCCAGAGGGATAGAGTCCGAGGGAATGGAAAGAAGGGAGGGAGGGGGAGAGAGGGAGAATAGAAGTAGCACAGGCTATAAGTGATGCCTTTCCTTCAGCAAGGTCCCCCTCCTAAAGGTACCATAACTTCCTCAAACATCACCACCAGCTGGGGATCAAGTGTTCCAATAAATGGGCATATTTGGTCAATTCCTCATTCAAACCACAGCAGCAACTCTAGGTTTAATCAAATTGCAGCGTTAGCGCAGGATTCTAACAACGCGGTAGAGAAAAATGCCCATACAATTGTGTTTCTTTAGGACCACTCCTGGCACCACAGTTTGCATTATCAAGGATCTCTATAGGAACAGACTCACCACATAGTATTTCTATGTGAACAGAGACTTAGAGGAATGACTCTCAACCAGTAGGCGCTCACAGACCCTCACAGCAGACAGGTTGAGAGCCCAGGCGCTGCTCAGCTCACAAAACTGGATCCTCAGCAGGGGAAGACTTTAAAAACTCAGGGAAAGTTTCTGGTCCACCCTGACGTTCAAAAATGCTGCAGTCTGAGTCAACGAAGGATAGACACACTCACCAGAAGGTGCTTGAGCCGCTTCTTTGCCCCGTTGAACCTTTTTCTCTCTGGGGCACTTGCTGGAAGGTTTCCCTCTTTGAGGAAGAATCTTCTCTTGGTAGTTCTTCCTGGAAACAGGTCTATAGACTCAGCAGAGACACGGCTTTTAGTTAGTCCAGATCTGGCCAGGCTGGAAAGCAACAGCAACCACCTCACTCTCTCGAGCACATTTGTTTTAGTTCCCCATCAGCATTCAATTCTGAAGTTCCTGTCAATTGCGTTTCCGTTGTCAGTCATTGGAAAACCACCCATGTTTTCTGCTGTCTTGATCGCAGTGATGCTGACAGACGCGGTGTGACCGCCAGTCCACTCACCCCCTTCATCCCACTGATGTACTTCTCCAGCCTGCTCATTGTGTCATAGCCTCAGGGGCAAAGAGACTTCATGCATAGCCCCTTCTCTCTACCTGCTCCTTATTCCTGTCACCTAGGTGACATCCCGGTCCCATTGGCTCTTTCTCTGCACAGCTCTCTGCAGTTCTGTGTCTAACATTCTTCCAAGAGTCTCTTTTCATTGTTATAGGATGACACTTCACCGGTCTCCCCTGATTTCCCTGTAGCCCTTAGTGTCCGCTTCTGGGTCCTGCTTCTCCTGAACTTGCCACATCAGATCTCTTGCTGTCTTCTCTTCTCCTGTCCTCTCCTTCCCAAGCCTTCTTGTTTGCATGGGATCCAGCACTTAAGTTAACGTGTGTTTGTAAGAGTGTGGGTTTTGTGTCTGTTTGCTTGTTTGATTTGTTTTGTTTTGCCAGTTTTTTAGGTTCTCTGTGTAGCTCTGGCTGGCCTTGAACTCACAGAGTTCCTCCTGCCTCTGCCTCCCGAGTGCTGGGATTAATTTAACTTCACTTCCCTTGTGAGTGGGGAACCAAGACTATAGGTGTCTCCAAGCGTCCTTAGCTTCAAAGCTGCAGAGGCACTGGGCCGGTGCTGGGGGAAAATTCTCCAGTTCACTCTAAGTGTAGATGAGTGGTAAGGAGTGGGAAGGTATTAGAAGAATCAGATGCAAAAAAGTAAGAAAAAGACACCCGGAGAGTCATACAGAGGCAAAGGAGAGAGGAAGAGAGGCCGGAGAGTCATACAGAGGCAAAGGAGAGAGGAAGAGAGGCCGGAGAGTCATACAGAGGCAAAGGAGAGAGGAAGAGAGGGAGACAAAAGAGAGAGAATGACACAAAAGCAGAAAAACGAAGTGGGACAGATGATTGGTGGTGAAAAATATACACAGATACACTCATACACGTAACTATATCTTATATATCTTATCTCTCTGTCATTTATGTAGTGTGTACCCCTATGCCCTTTATTATCTATTATGTATTACATCTATAAATCATTTTTGTTTCCATATTTATCCATCATCAATTGTCTATCTATATAGCCATCCATCCATCCATCCATCCATCCATCCATCCATCCATCCATCCAAGAAACAGAGGTTGGAGAGATGGCTCAGTGGTTAAGAGCCCTTGCTGTTCTAGTAGAGAAACTGGCTTCAAAACCCAGCCCCCACACCAGGCAGCTGACATCTGCCTGGGATGGCATTTCCAGTGGAAACAACACCTTCTTCTAGTCTACATGGACATTTGCATAAAATATGTAGCCACACACATATACAAATAATAAATCAATAAATCTTAAGAAACAAAACCATCTGGGTGGTAGTGGTGCACACCTTTCATCTCAACACTCAGGAGACAGAGGCAGGCAGATCTCTATGACTTCAAGGCAGGCCTGATCTACAAAGCAACTTCCTGTGGTGATATATTGTTTATGATATAATAAAGCCACTGAAGGTCAGAAAACAAAGCCAGCCACACTGGTTAGCTATAGAAGCTGGGCAGTGGTGACACACACCTAGAATCCCAGGACTCAGGAGACAGAGGCAGATGGATCTCTGTGAGTCCAAGACACTAGGATACAGGAGAATGAATCAGCCTAACAGAGCTCATGCCTTTAATCCCATCACTAGAGAGCTCAGTGCAGTCTCATATTGCAGTCTGGTCTTTGGGTGGAGGCCATAGCAGTCTAGGATTTTGGGGCTTGGTGGAGAACAGTGCAGTCTGGAGATGCAAGCTGAGGTTCAGTGGACCACCACTTTCGTCTGAGCATTGGTAGAGGTGAGAACTCTCTAGTGGCTGGCTGCTTTGCTTCTCTGATTGTCAGTGACTTTATTAGATCACAAACGATATATCACCACAAGTTCCAAGACAGCCAAGATTATACAGAGAAACCCTGTCTCGAAAAACCAAGTATGTATGTATGTATGTATGTACACACACACACGCACGCACACACACACACACAAGAATAAGGCTTCAAAGAGAGAAAGAGGTATGTATATAGAGACATGAATATATATATATATATACATATATATATATATATATATATGATGCAATGCACACAGTTTAACCCAGGTTGATTTAGCAAGAGCCATAGATGTATGAACCAATGAGAAGAGGGAGAGTGGTGTGGGATTTGATTGACAAGAGAATGGGAACATCCCAGGCACCCTGTCAGGACTAGCCTTGCCCTTCTCCATCCCCAGATCCAGAGCAACGAGGAAGGCATGCAGTTATTGACTGAGATGGGCCACCACTTCCTTGACGTCCACCTCTGTTGGTTCGGGGCCTTCTACCCCATCCTGAGGCTCTCACACCCCAAGTTCATTGCTCCCGTACTCCAGGCCCCAGGTATTTCTCCCAGGATCCAGTTACTGCTTTGTTCCCTTCCTTTTCTCCAAGTCCTTCCCATCCCTTCACAGGCCAGGCTGGGCAGGAGAGAATGAAGCCATATCTAACAGAAGCCACAGCCCTGCTACTTATCTCACTGACCCTGCACAAGGATTTGGGTTTCTCCAGACACTGAAGTCTGTTAAGTGAGTGATGGAAATTCAACCCAGTGTGGTCTTCAGAATGAAAGAAAATCTACTGGCTGGGGATATAGCTTTGTAGTGGGGTCCTTGTCTGCAATGTACAGGGCCTTGGGCTGCATGCCTAGGCACTGAAATTAAAAAACAAACAAGAAATCAGCAGCAGAAAACAACTAAAGAAATTTGCTGGCAGGAAGATCCAGGGAGAGTGATTTTTTTTTTTACACAAGACAGGGTTTCTCTGTATTATTTTGGCAGGAAGATCCAGGGAGAGTGGTTTTTGTTTGTTTGTTTGTTTGTTTACGAGACAGGGTTTTCTCTGTATTATTTTGGAGGCTGTCGGTCCAGCCGGGCCTCGAACTCACAGAGATCCACCTGCCTCCGCCTCCCGAGTGCTCGGATTAAAGGTGTGCGCCACCACTGCCGGCCAGGGAGAGTGATCTGTAAGCACAGTGGGATTCAAATCTCAACAGTGCTGCAGGATCTTTACCTCTTAGTTCTGTCTTCCCCCAGGGTGATTCTACTCTCATCTAGGGAAAGATGACCCCTAATCCCTGTGGGTGCAGGACGAGTTCTGGGATGCCCTCCTTTGGGCGATAGGACAGAGTCTTCATCCACCACGGTGACTTGATGGCCTCATACTATTTTAGACATAAAATGGCAAGTAACCAGTACATCAGTTCAGAGTTGCTCTCTTTTTGTTAAACTTTTTGTTGTTGTTGTTTTTCTGAGACAGGGTGTCTCTATGTAGTTCTAGCTGTTCTGGAACCCACAGAGATCCGCCTGCCTCTGCCTTCCTAGTGCTGGGATTAAAGGCGTGCGCCACCACCGCCCAGCCTGTTTTGTGCATTCTTGTACAAAAGCAAAGTAGAAAAGGACAATGTGTCTCCATAGTGCTTTCTTAAAATGAAAGGAAAAGGCTAGAAGGCGAAGGTCTTTTGCATACATAAAGCAGGATCTTTCCCTACTTTTTGATCCTTCACAATAAAAACATGGAGATCTGCTGGATGTAGTGTGCACCCCTTTGAGGCCAATAGTAGGGAGGCAGAGGCAGGCAGATCTCTGTGTGTTCAAGTCCCATTGGTCTACAAATTTATTTTTTTATAAACAAACAAACAAACCCACTGAATGGCCATTTTGTCATAGGATTCAGAATATAGCATGAGCAAACATCATTACAGCCATTCATCGTTTTTATGGGGCCATTAGCATAATGAGATCTGTTTATCAGGACACTTCTCAAGAGGTGTTGCTAGGAATGGAGGCTATGACATCCCTTCTAACAGAGTTCTGAGGTAGACCAGATAGACCAGAACTGAACAGAACAGAACAGAAAGGCTTAGATTCAGGAAAGCGATGCTGAAAGCGGCCCACAACACAGCAGGGATTCCACCCACCTTAGTTCCGGGTCTTAGGGTTGCTTCAGCCACTTCTGATGGGATGGGGTGGGTGTGTAGAGTACTTCAGGAGAAGATCCGGATGGGTCCAGCTGTGTCTGGATGACCCTGGAGCTACTTGATGGCTAGAGGGAGCCGGGACAATTTTTTGAGGGGAGCACGTGGGGCCAGCATCCTGCGGTCTTTGAGGATAGGGAAACCCTTGACTCTAAATTCTTAATTCTTAGCATGGTGTAAAGGATGATCCACGGTAGTCACGGGACATGTTTAGGACACATTTAAATCCTACCTGGGGTTATCTGAAGGCCAGAGTTACATCATGTGAGATTGTTGTATTCCAGTCCCAGACCATACTGTAACATCTCAGGGAAGATCATCTGTGTTGGGGTCATAACTGTGTCCCTGTCTCATGTTCAGGGTATGTCAGGACAAGCCAGAGAGTGTGTCCCAGGTCTCTGTAAAAGCATTTATAAGGGTGCTGTACTGGGTTTGGATGTGGAAGAAGATGTGGTGGACCATGTAGCAGCTATGTGAAGGCATGTTGGAGCATGTCAGGTTGATGTTGGCTCTCCCTGCTGCTGTAGCCTGGTCTAGTCCCATCTCACTCCCTCCTCCTTGCTGTCTTTGTCCCTGTCCCTTTCCTCCCTGCCTTGCTGGCCTTGGAGGGGAAGTGCACTCTCCAAACTAATCCTTATCTTCTCCATGGCTCCCCTGATTGTCCTTCACGGCAGCTGCGGTGGCCCCTAAGGAAATGACTTTCTACGGCTTCCTGAAGCCATGGTTGGGTGAGTACCTCAGGGTCAGGGTCAGAAGACACCCTTGTGGGCCCAGAGGAAGGTGCCACCCTTGCCCACTGCCATGGCTGCCCTCCTAGGGGATGGGCTGTTGGTGAGTTCAGGTGACAAATGGAGCCGCCACCGTCGCCTGCTGACACCTGCATTCCACTTTGACATCCTGAAGTCCTATGTGAAGGTTTTTAGTAAGAGCTCGAACATCATGCACGTGAGTTTGTGTATATGTTTGTATGGGATAAGTTCTTTACAATGAAATATTCTTAAATATATACATATGTTTTTATGTGTATGAGTGTTTTGCCTGCATGTATGACTGTGCATTCCCAGTGCTTGTATGTCTAGAAGAGGACATCAGATCTCCTGTCACTGGAGTTATAGGCAGTTGTGAGTCACTATATGGGTACCGAGACTCAAACCTGGGTCCTCTGTACGAACATCAAGTGCTTTTAGCCTCTGATCCACTTCTTCAGCCCCATTTGGGATAATTTCTGTAGCCACATACTAGTGGACATTTATCAAGTACCTACTATACATCAGAAATATTCTGCCAGTTCCATGATCTATGTTACAGTCTGTAGTAATTTCTGAACTACCCTGAGGTAGAGGTGACTATGACAGTTACATTATGGATGATGAGAGGTCAGGGAGGGCATCCAAGTTCATCAGCAGTAAGTGTGAGTGGCAGAGCAGGCGTTGAAGTATTGCTTATGGGGCAATAGACGAGGTGAAATTAATTGTTGTTGAAGGGTTAACAAGTGGGAACTAGGAGAGGGAAATGTGCTGACCAAAGGCACAGAGACATTAGACTTGAACTCAAGCTTTCTGACTCCTAGCCTTGTGTCTTCTCCCACCAGAGTCTGGCTTATTATGGAGGCAGAAGACCAAGTGCTCTCTCTCTCTCTCTCTCTCTCTCTGTCTCTCTCTGTCTCTGTCTCTCTCTCTCTCTGTCTCTCTCTGTCTCTGTCTCTCTCTCTCTGTCTCTCTCTCTCTGTGTGTGTGTGTGAGTGTATTTGTGCATGCATGTATGTGTCCACCCCAGTGTTTGGAGTTGGGGGAGGGCTTAGGAGCCAAGGATGGTTCTGCTTCCTTCTCTGGCCAGGCCAAGTGGCAGTGCCTGACCTCCAAGGGCAGCGCCCGTCTGGACATGTTTGAACACATCAGCCTCATGACCTTGGACAGTCTGCAGAAATGCGTCTTCAGCTTCGACAGCAACTGCCAGGAGTGAGTCACTGTCTTATCTGGAAACCTGAGCCGTGGACCAAGGGAAGAGGTTGAGGGAGGAGCTGGCCAGAGGGAGCAGAGGGGACTCCTGGAAGAGGCGGGTGATGACTGGCATTGAAAGACAGTTAAGAGAGAGAGAGAGAGACCCAGTATTATTCTTTCAGGGAGGTAGGGTTGTTTGGATAAACACAAGGAGGTATGGCGAAGCAGTAAATACAGCAGGCGAGGGCTCTTGTCAGTATCTGAGCAAACATCTGAAGAAGGAAAGGTTGATGCCGGCTCCAGGGTCCAAAGGTTTCAGTCCATCGTGGTGGGCAGCAAAGGCATCACAGAGCCCCTCCCACTAAGAAGGCTGGGAAGTGGGTTGGGAGAGATAGTCTGTTCTAGCAAGCTTCCTCCTGTTCTTCCTTTTGGACCCCTAGCCTGTGGAATGAGACTGTCCGCACCAGGGTGGTCAGTGCATTTCCATCTCCCAGAGCAGCCAATGCTCTGGGAGACACCCTCCTAGACGAACACAGAGATGTGCTTTAGGAGGGCTAAGGCTATGACTCCGTCAGTAATGTGCTTGCCATGCAAGGCCAAAGATGTGAGTTCTGCTCCCTAGCTCCCCACCAAAGCAAACCAGGGTGATTGATATCTGCATTCTGGTGCTGGAGGAAGGGTTAGATGGGGGAAATCCTGGGGCTCATAGGTTAGTAGTAAATGACTTTCCAGTGCAGTGAGAGACTCTTTCCCCCAAACCAAGATGGAGTGCATTGAAGAAGATACGAGATGTGAACTATGTGAACTCCCATACTCCACATGCCTGTGTTCACATGTACATGAGGCAAGTACACAAACATGTACATATAACACACACACACACACATACACACACATACGTGATTAAATCTAAGCACTTCTTAATGTAATAGAGGTTAATTATCCCAAGGAGTCTACAAAGAGAGTTCCAGGATAGCCAGGGCTATACAGAGAGGCCCTGTCTTTGAAAAAACAACAACAAAATCACAGGGAGTTAAGAGTGCTCCCTGCTTCTCTTTTTCTCTCAGAGCTAAACAGTGCCCCATTGCCTTTCTGTATAACTTACCTTTCTGTTGCTGGTATAAAATACTCGGATCTTCTAGAAGGAACGGTATATCTTGGATTACAGTTCTAAAAGGGAAGTCCGTAGTGGCAAGGGAGGCATGGCAGCAGGCCGATGAAAACCACCTGATCGCATTTCAGCTGCGCCCAGGAAGCAAAGAGCGCAAGCCAGAAGTGGGGCTACCAATTCTCAAAGTCCGTTCCTCCAAGTGTCTAACGCTGAAACTCCATAAGCTCCTAAAAAGTACCATCAGCTGGGGTCCAGGGGTTTTAATGCATGAGCCTCTTCAGACCATCTTCCTTCCTCCCACCCTTCTTTTCTCCCCATTCTCCCTTTCTCTTTTTCTTTCTCTCCTCTCTGTCTTTCTCTCTTTTGTTCTCTCTCTCTCTCTCTCTCTCTCTCTCTCTCTCTCTCTTTCTCTCTCTCTCTCTTTCTTTTCCCCTCCCTCCTTCCTTTTCTGTTAATGATCTGTTACTATGTTGTCTAGACCACCTAGGAATTGAGTAGGTTCTTCAGGCTGGACTTGAACTCATGATCTTCCCTCCTGCATCTCCTGGGTGTTGGGATTGTAGTCAGAAGCCACTATGTCCATTTAGTGGGCAGATCTTAAGGATGTTGTATACCCAGCAAGAAGGCCATGACCTCCATTCTGAGTTTCCCAAGGAGTCATGGAAGGTATTCAAGCAGTTGGGAATCATGGTGACAGCTGAGACTGGACAGCTGACCCAATAGAGGAATGTCGTGTAGACACAGGCCTGAAGAGGAGGATATGAGCTTGATACGGAAAACAGGGCAGATTTGCAAGAAATAAGGAAAGAAGAGTCAGTGGATGCCGAGTGAGAGAAAAAGGACAACAGTCGTACTTACCTTTGAATCCTGGGTTGCCAGGCTATTCATGGGGAATAGTATGCAGGAGAGGCGAGCCTGGCTAGAGCTCTTTTCTGGATCAGTCTTGGTCCTGAGACTCTGGCTGGAGCTTGTCTGGATGTTTGTGTCTCTCTGCCCCGCCCCACAGGTCTCCCAGTGAATACATTGCTGCCATCTTGGAGCTCAGCTCCCTCATAGTGAAACGGCACTTCCAGCTCTTCCTATATGTGGACTTCCTGTACTACCTCACTGCTGATGGGCGGCGCTTCCGTAAGGCCTGCGACCTGGTGCATGACTTCACTGATGCCGTCATCAGGGAGAGACGCCGCACCCTCAATAGCCAGGGTGTTGATGAATTCGTGAATTCCAAGGCTAAGTCTAAGACTTTAGACTTCATTGATGTGCTCTTGCTGGCCAAGGTGGGCTTTTGTGGGATCTCATCTGAGACCTTAACTAAGAACTTTTAAATGTTAGATAGAAGTTGGACTTGATCAAGAGGGTATCTGGGAAGCAATAGATGGCGTTTATAATAACTAAGGACAGGATATGCAAACATTATAGATGTGACTCTGCTGAACACTGTGTGGAAGGAGAAACAGCGTCAGGAAATTGTGGTGGGAATTGCAGGGAAGGGCTCTGGAAAGGACAGGGAAGGCATTCTGTGTGCACAGTGGGCATCGGTCAGCCTCAACAGCCCTTAGACATGGCACGAGTTGAGGGTCCTGTTTTGTTTTGTTTTGTTTTGTTTTTTTGTCCTCAGGATGAACATGGAAAGGAGCTGTCAGATGAGGACATCCGGGCAGAAGCTGACACCTTCATGTTTGGAGGTGAGGGTCCCAGTGTGGGACTACACTGAGGGTAAGAATCTATCAATCCCAATTAGGTATTTTGGAGACAGCAGATCCCTTCATTCCACCTGTCTACTCTTTCGTCATATTTCCTTGGGTCATGGATGTCCAAGTACTGTTCACTCTGAACAGCATAGATACCCAGACCTTCCTGTCTGCCCCTCAGGCCATGACACCACAGCCAGTGGACTCTCCTGGATCCTGTACAACCTGGCGAGGCACCCGGAATACCAGGAGCGCTGCCGGCAGGAGGTGCGGGAGCTGCTGAGGGACCGAGAGCCTCAGGAGATTGAGTGGTGAGCATAGGTTTAGTGCCACGAATATAGCGGTGAGTCTGTATGGCAGCTGCTATTTTTGACTTGTAAAATTCCATTGCTTTATTTATTTGTGTGTGACTGTCTGTGTTGGGCGTGTGCATGTGCCAGGTACACATGAGGAGGCCAGAGGACAACTTTCAGAATTGGTCCTACCATGTGGGTTCTAGAGCTGAACTCAGGTGGTCCGCCGCCGCAGCAGGCTCTTGCCCCCAGGAGCCACCTCCCTGCACTACTTTTGGTGTTTTTGGTCTGGTTATGTAGTTAAAGCTGGCCTGGAACTCTCCATTCTCTTCTCCTGTGTCTACCTCCTGGGGCCACCTGACCAGCTTGGACATCACTTCTTAAATCTCTTCTGTCTGAACCCCAACGATTCCTAGATCATATCCTCCACTTTTCTCCTGGGCTATGTGTCCTTTGTTTGCTGATTTGCAAGGAACACACACACAAACACACACTCACTCATACACTCACAAACACACTCACACATGTCATAGTAGTAGACAGACAGACAGAGGATCATGGACATCCCTGAATCACTCCTTTGAATACTACTGTGGTTTGTGGTGTCTCATGATGTACAGATTTTTCAGCTTTGAAATTATATACTGCCCTTCCCTTCTAGTCTTTAACCTCAAGCTTTTGAAGTGCTAAGAATTTCTGCCGTTCTGTCACAAAAGTGTTGCTTATGCTATCTTATTTGTACTTGGTAGACTTTTTGTCCCCCTTAATCAGTCTGATAATGGGTGGGACTGATGGAGAATTGGTAAGTGGGTACAGAATTGCAGGTAGTTAGTGGTGCTTCCCACGATAGCCCAATTTTAGTTAACAATAACAATAATAATAACCCAATGTGTATCATTCTCACCCCAAAGAAATGACAAATCTTGGAAATGCTAGAGGTAATACTGAACATTGTCAGTCTAGTTTTTCAGATGTGGTGGAAAACTCCATCCTCTAATCAGAACAGGCAAACATTTCTTTTTACTTTAAAAAAAGATTTATTTTTGCTGATGTTTGGGTGTGGGTATGCACCCATGAGTATGGGTGCCCTGGAAAGCCAAGAGGTGTCAAATGCCCCGAGCTGGAGGGACAGGTGGTTGTGAGCCGCCCTTGTGGCTGCTGGAAATCTAGAGTGGGTGTGAATACTCTTACCCTCGTTGAGACAGAGTCTTGAATCTCAGGCGGGCTTTCAAGTCAGTGGATAGCCTAAGCTGGCCTTAACAGTTTGAGCTTCCTGCCTCCACCTTCTCAGTTGTGAGCGCCTCCATTTCATTTTTAAAGGTCTTTCACATAAATGTTCGAAAACATTTAAAGATATCTTCTTTTTTGGTAATGAGGTAGCACATGTATTTTACGTTCAACACTTGGAGGCAGAGGCAGGTGGAGCTCTGAGTTTGAGGCCAGCCTGGTCTACAGGGAGTTCTAGGGTAGCCAAGGCTACATAGTGACACCTTGTCTGAAAAACAAAGTAAAATCTATAAAACAGGGCAGGGACATGGCTCAGGGGGTAATGTACTTGCTGGTAGCATGAGGACATCAGTTTGAATTCCCAGATCCACTTAAAAGGCGACTCCAACACTGAGGTTCAGGGAGCAGGAGATCAAATTGTTCTGACCAGTCTAACCTAACCTAAACGTGCAGCTCTTACGTTCTGGGAGAGACACTATCTCATAGCAGAGGATGTAGAGGGACAGAGGAATATGACCAAAGCCGACCTCTGGACTACACACACACACACACACACACACACACACACACACACACACACACACACACACACACACACACACACACGCAGTCCACAGTACATGTGTGGAGGTTGGAAGCCAGCTCTTGAGCGTTGGTTCTCTCCTGTCACCTTGGGTGGTCTGGGTATTGAATTTAGGTTGTCACTCATGGGTGCTAGCCCTCTAATGCTAAGTCACCTAGCAGGCCTGGGTGTTGTTTTTACTCCCTGGATAACTGTGTGGCTGTTCCTCAGGGACGACCTGGCCCAGCTGCCCTTCCTGACCATGTGCATCAAGGAGAGTCTGCGGCTGCATCCTCCAGTTATCTCCATCTCTCGATGTTGCACCCAAGACATTGTGCTTCCAGATGGCCGGGTCATCCCCAAAGGTGTGGACTTTATGTGGAGGTGGGTGGCTCCTGGTGGTCCCCAGTGGCAGTGCTGACTTCCTCCTGTCTGTCCCTTCTTGTTCAAAGGGAATGACTGTGTCATCAGCATATTTGGGGTTCATCACAACCCTTCAGTCTGGCCAGACCCTGAGGTGCGACCCCCACCCGCCAATTCTGGGACCTGGGGGACAGGGCATGGCTCTTACCTGGGGAACCTGCCTCTTCTGGGGCTGGCTGGCTGTGTTCAAAGACACGACCTAGAAGCCTAAGCTTGTCTCTCCCCCAGGTCTACGACCCCTTTCGCTTTGACCCAGAAAACCCTCAAAAGAGGTCACCTCTGGCTTTTATTCCCTTTTCTGCTGGACCCAGGTGAGGCGAGAGGGCTTAGAGCTATAGAAAGTGATATGGGCTGACGGGGGGGGGCGCGGGAGGGGGGAGGAAAGGGGAGTGGAGAAGGGGAAGTTGGGGTGGTTAAGTTCTGGGTCTCCTTGCCGTCCTCTGCTCAGGGTGTGTGGAAAGGTCTAGAGAGCCCGGTTGGAAAGTGAAGGGTGGGGACCCTGTGCGAGCCCCGCCCTGGTCTGTGGTCTGTATTTGGTGCTGAGTCTGAGGGAGTTTCAGGAGTGCAGATGCACACTCGGGGTCCCAGTAGCGTCAGTGCCCCTCCTGCCCCTCAGGCTGCCCAGGCCCGACAGGGACCTGTCCAGGTTCTAACCTTGGAGCCTGGTTGGGTCCAGGCACAGTCAGAGTCCCCGCCCCGCCCTCCGCAGGAACTGCATAGGACAGACTTTCGCCATGGCTGAGATGAAGGTGGCCCTGGCGCTGACACTGCTGCGTTTCCGCGTCCTGCCCGACGACAAGGAGCCCCGCAGGCAGCCGGAGCTGATCCTGCGTGCGGAGGGCGGGCTGTGGCTGCGGGTGGAACCGCTGAGCCCAGGGACACAGTGACCGGGCGGGGATTGCCCCACCCGCTTTCCTCCAAGGATCCCGAATAAGCAGAACCTCAGCAAAGGCCAGCAGGGGGCGCTGCGGGACAGCGGAGAACCACTGGTGGCCTGGAGAAGAGGTGGGGCTTGTTTCCTCCTGGACCACCCTCAGGACCTGCAGGCTGATGGAAGTTGTAGCCAAGCTCAAGCATGGACTTTATTCTTTGGGCGATAAAGAGCCACCATTGATATTTGAGCAGGAGAAGTACCTGCAGGTTTGAGGCTCTGTGAGCTAAGCATAGTTACAGTTTTCGTTTTCCTTTTTTTTTTTTTTTGGTTTTATGAGACAGGGTTTCTCTGTATTGTTTTGGAGGCTGTCGGTCCAGCCCGGCCTCAAATTCACAGAGATCCGCCTGCCTCTGCCTCCCGAGTGCTGGGATTAAAGGCATGCGCCACCACCGCCCGGCTCGTTTTCCTTTTGTTTTAGAGTCAACTGCATAAGGTAGGCTGGCCTCAGACTTGCAGCAAACCTCTCCTCATCTCCTGAGTGCTGCAATTAGAAGAGAGGGCCACTGTGCCTGGCCTGTCATATCTGAAGGAATATTTGTAGAAACAAAGTACAGTTTCTCAGGAGAGAAGGCTGGGAGCCCTTTTGAATGATGTTAAATGATGTTTGAGGCTGGTGATGTCCAAGGCCACTAAGGCAGCTCAGGTTTAAGATGAAGTCACACTCACAGGCTCTCTATGTGGGGGCATTCTTCTGGGTTCCCACTGATTCCTCTTGGGGCTGGAGAGGTGGCTCCGTGGGGGACACAGGAGGAGCCTAGGGCTTCACAAGTCACACAGTCGTTCTGAATCAGACAGCTTCAGGTTCAGTGAGAGATTCTGTTTCATGAAATACGGTGGGCAGTAATGACTGAAGACACCTGACAGGAGCCTCTGGTGGACAGTGATGACTGAAGACACCTGACAGGAGCCGCTGGTGGACAGTGATGACTGAAGACACCGGACATGAGCCTCTGGTGGACAGTGATGACTGAAGACACCGGACATGAGCCTCTGGCATCCCCATGGCTATGTCTCTGTGTGCCACACATGAACAAATTCCCTTTTCTATCATTTCCAGGATTTGATTTTCCCCACTCTACAGGGAAGTCATTAAACACAGTTGGAGTTGGAGAGTAGCCTGGGCTCTATAGAAAGTTTGAGGCCAGCATTGAGAGATCGTAGCTAAAACTAAAAACAAACAAACAAATAAACAACAAAACACACACACACAAAAACAAAACTAGAGTTTTACATCTCTTTGACTTGAGAAATGACTTTAGAGCAAAAATTGGCGCCTTTTTTATTTAATCTGTAGCGTTTCTTGTTTATAGAGTGAGTTTCTGCTTTTGGCAGCACTCTGGTTGAAGCCCAGGTCTTTTATGCATTAGGCAAGTCCTCCACTGGGCTATACACCTTGCTGATTCTGCTATTTCATCTATTTATTTGTTAGTGGTGTGTGTGTGTGTGTGTGTGTGTGTGTGTGTGTGTGTGTGTGTGTGTGTGTGCCAGAGGGCAGCTTAGGTGTTGATGTTTAGGAATGCTGTCCACCTCCCTTTAAACAAGGTCTCTCATTGGCTAGGAGCTCACCATTTAGGCTAACGTCATTGGCCAGGGCACTCTGGGAATCTTCTTGTCCCTGCCTTCCCAGCGATGAGAGTACAGGTGCATACCACTTCATACCCAATTTTATGAAGGTGAAAGGCAATCACATTATTCATTGAGCCGTATACCCTGCCCCTTAAGTGAGATTTTAAATCAGCATGATCCATTTTCTCTAGTGACTCCACTCTGGATGTTCAAGCTGATAATTACTCTTGATTTTATAGTTTCTAGACCACAGTCACCCACATCAGAACGTGAGGGGAAAGTTAGTCATGGTGTCCCACATCTGTAATCCCAGAACTTGTGAAGAAGAGACACATGGATCTTTTTGAGTTCAAGGTCAGCCTCATTGACATAACGAGTTCCTGGAGAACCAGGGATATTTAAAGAAAACTTGTCTCACCCCCTCCAAAAAAAAAAAAAGAACATGAGTGGGAGCATTACTCATTACTAACAGGTTTTGAACTTTGGGAAAAATAGAGGTGTAATTTTAGGTCATCATATTCTGTATGATTTCCCTATATTTTATAGTGTCTTGAAAGGATAATGGGAAACCTGAAACTGTACTTTTATTTTTGGATAATTTTTGGATCTCTTATGCCCTTTGTGTTTTCATATAAATTTCACAATCAATGTATTTACTCATACAAGTGGTCCTGCTGTGATTTTGAGTTTTCAGTAAATTTACCATTACTGAGCCATCCTGTCCATGAACACTGTACCTCCGCATACAGTATTGGGTTATCCTGGCTTTTTGTCATCTGTGTCTTGACATTTTCATCACAAGTGTACCACATTTATTTTGTTTGACTTTTTCCTGAGTACACTTTCATAGTGTATCTTCAATAACCATTTTTGAAAAATTGTTTACTATTTATTGTTATACAGAGAATGAATTGGAACACATTTTGTAAAAAATGATTTACTTATGTATCTATTTTATGTACATGTCAACACACAAGAAGAGGGAATTGGATCCCATATAGTTCTAACCAACTGTCTGTAGCATGAATTTGAATTGTTTTTAATAATAAAAGGTCAGAGCCAGATATTGGCATTAATTCTGAAAATCAGAGAAGCAAAGCAGTCAGGCACTAGAGAGCTCTTAACTCAACCAATGCTCAGACCAAAGGGGCGACCCTGTCCTCAGACTGCATCCTCAGACTGCATCCTCACACTGCACTGCATCCTCACACTGCATCCTCACTCTGCATCCTCACACTGCATCCTCACACTTCATCTTCACTCTGCATCCTCACACTGCATCCTCACTCTGCATCCTCACACTGCATCCTCAGACTTCATCTTCACTCTGCATCCTCACACTTCATCCTCACTCTGCATCCTCAGACTGCACTGCATCCTCACACTGCATCCTCACACTTCATCCTCACACTGCACCCTCACACTGCACCCTCACACTGCACCCTCACTCTGCATCCTCACTCTGCACCCTCACACTGCATCCTCACTCTGCACCCTCACACTGCATCCTCACACTGCACCCTCACACTGCATCCTCACACTGCACCCTCACACTGCATCCTCACACTGCATCCTCACTCTGCACCCTCACACTGCATCCTCACTCTGCATCCTCACACTGCATCCTCACAATGCATCCTCACTCTGCATCCTCACACTGCACCCTCACACTGCATCCTCACTCTGCACCCTCACACTGCATCCTCACACTGCATCCTCACTCTGCATCCTCACTCTGCATCCTCACACTGCATCCTCACACTGCATCCTCACTCTGCATCCTCGCACTGCATCCTCACTCTGCATCCTCACACTGCATCCTCAGACTGCATCCTCACACTGCATCCTCACACTGCATCCTCACTCTGCATCCTCACACTGCATCCTCAGACTGCATCCTCACACTTCATCCTCACTCTGCATCCTCACTCTGCATCCTCACACTGCATCCTCACACTGCACCCTCACACTGCATCCTCACACTGCATCCTCACACTGCATCCTCACACTGCACCCTCACACTGCATCCTCACACTGCAACCTCACAGTGCATCCTCGCAGTGCATCCTCACTCTGCATCCTCAGACTGCATCCTCAGACTGCATCCTCACTCTGCATCCTCACACTGCATCCTCGCACTGCATCCTCACTCTGCATCCTCACACTGCATCCTCGCACTGCATCCTCACTCTGCATCCTCAGACTGCATCCTCACACTGCATCCTCACACTTCATCCTCACTCTGCATCCTCACTCTGCATCCTCACACTGCATCCTCACTCTGCATCCTCACACTGCATCCTCACTCTGCATCCTCACTCTGCATCCTCACACTGCATCCTCACACTGCATCCTCACTCTGCATCCTCGCACTGCATCCTCACTCTGCATCCTCACACTGCATCCTCACACTGCATCCTCACACTGCACCCTCACAGTGCACCCTCACACTGCATCCTCACTCTGCATCCTCACTCTGCATCCTCACACTGCATCCTCACACTGCATCCTCACACTGCATCCTCACACTGCACCCTCACACTGCATCCTCACACTGCACCCTCGCAGTGCATCCTCGCAGTGCATCCTCACTCTGCATCCTCAGACTGCATCCTCACACTGCATCCTCACTCTGCATCCTCGCACTGCACCCTCACACTGCATCCTCACACTGCATCCTCACACTTCATCCTCACACTGCATCCTCACACTGCATCCTCACTGCATCCTCACACTGCACCCTCACACTGCATCCTCACTCTGCACCCTCACACTGCATCCTCAGACTGCATCCTCACACTGCATCCTCACACTTCATCCTCACTCTGCATCCTCACTCTGCATCCTCACACTTCATCCTCACTCTGCATCCTCACACTTCATCCTCACTCTGCATCGTCACTCTGCATCCTCACACTGCATCCTCACTCTGCATCCTCACACTGCATCCTCACTCTGCACCCTCACACTGCATCCTCACACTGCATCCTCACTCTGCACCCTCACACTGCATCCTCACACTGCACTGCATCCTCACACTGCATCCTCACACTGCATCCTCACACTGCATCCTCACACTGCATACTCACACTGCATACTCACACTGCATACTCACTGCATCCTCACACTGCACTGCATCCTCACTCTGCATCCTCACACTGCATCCTCACACTTCATCCTCACTCTGCATCCTCACACTTCATCCTCACTCTGCATCCTCACACTTCATCCTCACTCTGCATCTTCACACTGCATCCTCACTCTGCATCCTCAGACTGCATCCTCACACTGCATCCTCACACTGCATCCGCATCCTCACACTGCATCCTCACATTGCACTAGTCCTCACACTGCATCTCTCTCCTGTCTCCTCCTACCTTATATTCCTCTCTCTTCCAGCTGTATCACTCCTCTCTCCACCTCTTTAGTGCCAGGATTAATTGCATGCCACTGCCAGTGCTGTGTGAGCTCGGTTTCTCGTTTGGACTGGATCAATTTCGTGTAGCCCTGGGTGGCCTTGAGCTAACAGATTTGTCTTCCTTTGTCTCCCGAGTTCTGGGATTAAAGGAGTGAGGCACCACTGCCTGGCCTCTATGGTAAACTAGTGCAGCTAGCATTGTACACTGATCTTCACACAATCTTTGTTTGTTAGATCATTAAAAAATATCACCACAACTGTCCATAATGTAATGTGGGTGCTGGGAATTGAACCTAGGTCCTCTGGAAGAGCATCCAGTGCTCTTAACCCCTGAACCATCCCTCCAGCCTGGGCCTTGTTTTCTAACCAGCTGACACTC